CTTCATACCTGGCCAAGTTCCTCTTAGTAATTTTCTACCCAGTGACTCTGTCCACCTCCCTACTGGCCATAAATCCCCAGGTGCCCTTGCTGTATTTGGAGTTGAGTTCAATCTCTCTCCCCTATTGCAATAATCTTGAATAAGCTCTTCCTTGCCTGTTTAACTCTGTCTGTTGCAATTTTTCTTTGACAAAATACAACATATAAAAATTTGTGGGATATAGTTAGAACAGTGGGGGAGAGGGAAATTTTATAGCACAAAAAAATGTACACATGAGAAAAAAGGAAAAGTCTTAAAGCAACAATCTAAAATTGCACCTGGAGAACTTAGCAAAAGTAAAGCAAAATAAACCCAAATCAAGCAGAAGAAAGGAAAGACTAAACAACAGATATCAGTAAAATTGAAAACAGAAAACCCACTGAAACAAATAGCTGGTTCGTTGAAAAGATCAATAACATTGATAAAACTCTATCTAGACTGATAAAGAAAAAAGAGAGAAGACACAAATTACCAATATCAGGAATGAAATAGGGGACATCACTACAGATCCTGCAGACATCAAAAGGTTAAGGGAATGCTACAAACAACTATATGCACATCAATTTCACAAATTAAAAAAATATATATAACCAACCAAAATTTACCCAATATGAAACAAGATACTATGAATAACCCTATAAATACTGGTAAAATTGAACACATAATTTCAAAACTCTCCAGAAAGAAACTTCCAGGTCCAGACAATTTTATTAGCAAATTCTACCAAATACTTAAAGAAGAATTTTTTTTTAAATTTTATTTTTAAGTAGTCTCTACACCCAACGTGGGGCTCAAAGTTACAACCCTGAGATCGAGAGACACATGCTCTACGGACTGAGCCACCCAGGCATCCCTATTTAAAGAATTAACACAAATTCCACACAATATCTTCCAGAAAATGCAAGAGGAAGGAACATTGCCTGTTTCATGAAACTAGTGTTATCCTGGTATGCAAACCAGATAAAAACAGATCTATATTTCTCATGAATATATACACAAAAATCCTTTAAAAATATTAATACATAGTGGCATTAAAATAGACACACAGACCAACAGAACTAAATAGAGAGCCCAGAAATAAACCCATAATTATATGGTCAATTGATTTACAACAAAGGAGTCAAGAATATCCAATGGGGAGAAGACAGTCTCTTTGATAAATGGTGTTGAGGAACCTGGACAGATACATGCAAAAGAATGAATCTAGACTACTATCTTACACCATGTAAAAAAATTAACACAAAATAGATTAAAGACTTGAATGTAAGACCCGAAACCATAAAACTCCTCAAAGAAAACATAGGTGGTAAGCTTCTTGACATTAGTCTTAGCATTGATCCCACTCCAAAAGCAAAAATAAACAAGTGGGACTAGATTAAACTAAAAAAGCTTCTGCAAAGGGAAAAAAAAAGGCAACTTACTGAATGGGAAAAAAATTGTAAATCATATATCCTACAAGGGGTTAATATCCAAAATATATAAGGAATTCAAACAACTCAATAGCAAAAAAACCAATCTGATTTAAAAATGAGCAGAGGACCTGAATAGACATTTTTCCAAAGAAGACATATAGATGGCCAACAGGCACATGAAATGATGCTCAACATCACTCATCATCAGGGAAATGCAAATCAAAACCATGAAGAGATATTATCTCATACCTGTTAGGATGGCTATTATCAAAAAGACAAGAAATAACAAGTTTTGGCAAGGACTGGAGAAAAGGGAACCCTCGTGCACTGTTGGTGGGAATGTAAATTGGTGCAGCCACTGTGGAAACAGGGTGGAGACCCCTCAAAAAATTAAAAATAGAACTATCATATAATCCAATAATTCTACTACTGGGTAATTGCCTGAAGCAAACAAAAACATGAATTTGAAAAGACACATGCACCCCTATGTTTATAGCAGCATTATTTACAATAACTAAGATATGGAAGCAACCCAAGTGTCCACTGATGGATGAATGGATTTAGAAAATATGGTATGTATATACAATGGAACGTTACTCAGCCATAAAAAGAAGGAGATCTTGCCATTTGTGACAACAAAGCTAACCTAGAAGACGACTGAACACTTGGGATATTAAAGAATTCATAACAATACAATGTGTGAGGTCAGATATTTTGAATTACAAAACATGGGTGAATTCTGAGCCGGAACCACTCAGTGCAAGTGGCATGACAGTGACACGAGGGCAGTGACAAAAACTGGCCTGTCAATGCAGAAACATTAGGAGGGGCGTCTGAAGCCACAACCGACAAGGAGGTATTAGGAGATGAAGAAATGGTGAGAATGTGGCTCCTGGCAAGTGCAGTAAGAACAGAGAGGTCCTCCGCACCTGCCCAGGAGCAGGCCTTCATAAAAATATGATAGGTCCAAGAGAGACACACAAAACAAAGATTGACATGCACAAACCCTAAAGAATCTGAGTCAAGGGAAGAGAAGAATTGAGGCTCATGACCAACTGCCAGCCAGGATGGAGAACATGACAGCTTGGGGAAGAGGCTGGGCCTATACTGTTAACACGCGGCAATCCTGATGATGATCCCAAACCACGTGACTTTGAGACATGGGAAGGCAACTCAAGGGTGGATCACACACCCAGGTTTTCACTCAGTAAGTACTTGGTGCCTACCAGGCGCAGAGCCAGGCCACGGTGGGGAGTAAGTCGACAAAAGAGGCAAAAAGTCCCTGTTCTCTTGGAACATACAATCTAACAGGGTAAACAGAAGTCAACAGGCAGTTAAAACACCATGTAGTGGCCATCAGGACAAGTACAGGGAACGTCTAGGAGGATACTAGACCGGGGTTTTGATAAAGCAAATACTGATCAATGAACCACTCGATGCTAAGAGAACTCAAAGAATGAGGGTTTTAGGTGGATGAAAATGATCAGATGGGGGCTTCTACTTCCACTCAGGATGGACACAGTTGAAAAGAAAGGGCTCCCACCTAACAAGGAAGGTAAGAAACACAACCTATAACGTAAAGCCCTAAAAATACACGTATACTTTGACTCAGGAATTCCATCTCTGGGAATGCTATGGAAATCATCAGAAAAATGTACCAAAAATACACATACAGGTATGTTTATGGCATCTCTGTATAAAATAAGTACAACTGAAAACAATCTAAACGACCGTCACCAGGGACAGCCATCAAGTGGGGTATAAAGTAGCTGTTAAAATGATGATGTGGACTTCCAGTGGAAAGTAGTGGCCAAATGCACACGTTATGTTATACCTTCTCTTTCCAAAAATTCAACTGAAATAACAGAAAATAAAAAAAACAAGAGCGTCACTAAAAACTTGGGAGGAGTGCTACCCACAAACCAGAGACCCTGGAGATTACTGGAAGAGAATAAAACACAGCAAGAGATTAACCTGGAAATGTAATAGACAATACGATCTTACAACGCTGTACAGGCAAAAGCAAGGACCTCGTAAAAAGTGCGTTTTCTCAGGGGCGCCTGGGTGGCTCAGTCGTTAAGCGTCTGCCTTCGGCTCAGGTCATGATCCCAGGCTCCTGGAATCGAGCCCCACATCGGGCTCCCTGCTCGGCGGGAAGCCTGCTTCTCCCCCTCCCACTCCCCCTGCTTGTGTTCCCTCTCTCGCTCTTTGAAAAAACAAACAAACAAAAAAAACCAGTGCGTTTTCCCAGTAGAACTCATAAATTACTCTTTGATGAGAAGCAGCAGCTAAGAGAAAAGGTGCAGCAGGCACTTGCCTTCAGAGGAGGCACTAGTCTTAGTGCTGCTTGTGGTAAAGACCGCAGAAGAGCTCTCTAAAGTGGGGTGTCCAGAGAAAGGCCTTCCTAAGGTGGGTGCGACGTCCAGAGAGCGTAGGGCCCTGAGCAGGGCTGCGGCTCCTGCAGGTGTGAGCCCACCCAGCCCCACATGACCACCAGCTGTGAGCACTGGGCACCCACACACGTAAAGGCCAGATGAAGGCTGGCAGGATGCAGTCCAGACCAGTGACAGGGGACCCACGGGGTAGACAGACGTGTCGCGAAGGGAAAGGAAAGGGCACTGAAGTTTTTTTCCACCCATGTCCACACTATTTGAATTTATCACAAATATATACTCATATGTATATATTTTTACAGTGCATATTTAAATAATTAATGTATTCAATTCATATGTTTAAATAATTCAAATGTTCAAATCTAAATATAGATTCAGGTCAATATTAATGTATGATATCAAGACATCATAAACAAAATTGAGAAGTATAAAAGTGAGGTTTTATTTTGGTAGAAAAACAGTATTTTATAAATATATGTACTTGGCAAAAAGTCAATAAGGATAGACACCAAAATGTTAACCACAGTTAATTCTGCATGGTGGAATAATAGGTGACTTATTAGTTTTTGTTTGTTTGTTTTTACATTTCTGTACTTAAGGGACTGTTCTGCGATGAAAAATTAGTAATGAATCATCTTTAATTCAAAAATATAAAGCCATTTAAAAAGCTAATTGCTTTGAGTGTTATTAAAGCTGCATCATAAATTCAAGGGTATTTATAGCTTTTTTCATCAGAGACAGTCTGGAACAACAACAAAGAAATGGAGGAGGTCATCAGAGCATCAGACATTTCAACACATCTCTGGACCTCAGAAGCTTCCTGTCCAGTACAAATCTGAAGACGAGGAAGGGGAAGTGGGAAGAGGGTGTCCCTTTTGCCCTCAGCCCCAGCACGCATGACTCTCTGGATGGAAAGGACCCCTCACTAACTCAACACATCATGACAGCAGGGACCATGTGTCTTATTCCCCCACTATGTTCCCAAAACACAGCAGGTGCTAAGTGGGTATTAGCTGAGTGGATAAACAGAGTAAAACACATCTATCTACATGGGGCCCTCTCTTAGAAACAGAAAGTGCACAGGCAAACACACATACAGGCAAAAACTCAACTCTGAGGCACAGGAACTGGCGTCTACCAAGGGGCGCTAACTTACCGGATGCCTAGCTGAGAGTCTTCCAGTCACAGTTCCAGTCTGATTCCACGTAGAGGAAATGGAGCCCTTTATCAGTTAAGAAGAATCCGTTTCAGCGCAGGCAATGCCACGTGAAGTCAGGAGCACAGTGACCCTTAGTCTCCCTGCACACAGCACACACTCACTGCTCTCCTGCAGACGTCCACAAGCTGCTGGCCCGAAGCCCCCAACCCTGAAAGGTCTCTGGGTGTCAGCCAACTGCTGACCAACAAGGAGGTTCCCCTAACCCATGCAAAAACTGCAACAGGACATGTGGGCCTTCAGGTCCCTTCAAGCCCCTGAGCATGGGGAGAGGAGGACCATGTGCCACAGGGGCTCAGCATGGACTCCAGGCGGGGCTGTGCAGCCAAGACAGGGGCCCAGATGGAACACCCCTGCCTGCAGGCTCCTCCTCCTTCCCTGCAACGGGCACGGGAAGAGGCTCAGTGACAGGTGTCACAGTGCCTGGGGAAGCCCAGGGCTTCGGCATACGTGCAGCTCCAGGTCCTAAGGCATGATGACCACTCAGGCTATAAAGAGACCCAAGTAATAACAAAATCATGGCTCACGGCTCAAGAATATTTGGTGATTTCACCGTTAACTAAAATTTCAGGGAATTGTACATGTATCTGAAGCCACGCGGAAACCACATTCCTGGGCACAGGATCTGGTTTAGCTCAGTCACCTTTCTCATGCAAGCTAGTCATCCATCCACAAAGGCTGATTTGGTCTTGTGAACCTAGGTTGCACAGACAAGAGTAATCATTTTCTTGTTTCAGCATCCAGCAAGAACAAGCATCAAAGCAGTGTTTCACAGAGTGCTGGGCATGTGGCGCTCACATGTCAAATCCAGGAGGCCCTGCAACAGGCTAGTGTGGTACCCACAATTAAATAACAATGACCCACAGGGAAAGATGGCACCCTACCCTCTTTCCAGAATAATTCTGGAATGATTCTTTTCTCAGAAACGTTGCAGAGATAAATGGGGAGCCCTGGGTACCCATCCTCCCGCATCCCCTAGGATGCCTTTAGTTCTCTTCCAATCGTTTTGTCCCTTCAAGGAGAAGGCCATTTGGTGCCATGACCAAGCCCTGTCGGCTGCCACACCTCAGGAGAGCAGCAGGCCACAGGTTCAGGGAGTGACAGACTGATAGTACAAGCAGCAGCCAAGCTATGGACGCGGTTCACAGACAACAGAGAACACATGGAGGGGCGCGGACAGAGGAAGCGTCGGCTGCTGAGGAAGAAGGCGGCATGTCAGCGAACGAGCAAGCCAACATGCTCAGAGGGCTGCAGGGAACTTCGCCAGGTCCAGGGCTGGGGAGTGGGAGGAGGCCCTCGAGAGAGGCTTCTGAACTCTGTGCTGCTGGAGTCTAGTCCACAGAGAAGCCACCCGATGACAACACACACATCCCCTTCCCATCTTCCTCCGTCCTCGTCCCCGTGGGATCCTCTGGCTCGGTGCCGAGCGGGGTGCACGAGAGCAGCGCTGGAACCAGGCCGGCTTGAACAAGCTCTGTTCCCCTCAGAACACTGCCAGGGCTACTGCTGTGATTATGGATTGATGGCTCTTATCAGAGGTGGGGCCAGATGGCTCCCCTCCCTCACCAACTTATTCACACACAAAGGGAACCTACCCGTCTATATTCCAAAATTATCTTGGGTAATGGATGAAGGTCCTGCACAGCACTTAACTGAAAAATGAGAATAAATGTCACCAATATAATTCCTTCATTTAATTTTAACATTTTGAACACTTATTTTCAGCTGGAGAAAGTCCTAATAATAAATGGTCTGTATTGACCATATTTTCCAAAGTGAAGATTCATAATAAATTCAGTTTATCAAGTGTCTTTAATCTTAATCCCTTACAAAATCATTGCTGTACATATGAGAGCTAAAGGCATTTCACACAAGCTTGGAAATAAGATTGCTCCTGAGATTTAAATTCATGAAATCTAAATCCAGGGTATGTAAAATACCACATAGGAGAATAAACTAAGAAAATGCCTACAAATGTGTAACTCAAGAGTTTAGGAACACCCAATGTTTCAATTACAGTTATCCAGGCATAATGTCAGGGAGGTAACATCAGAATAGGATTATGGATTTTAAAACTAATTTTAAAAGGTCAAAATATTACATATAGGACAACACAAGATCCTAAGAACATGATTTGTTCGATTACCACAAAGTGAACATGCTTGGGTAAGACCACGCACATGGAACATTCCAGGTCCCCTGCGGGTCCCTGCCCCTCCCCCTCCCCTACAGGTAGCCACCACTCTGCCTCCACCATCAAGGCCACTTTTCCCAGCTTTCGAACTTCGTATCCATGCAACAGGACAGACACTCTGTGTGTGTGGTTTTGTTCAACAGGGTGGTTTTAAGGCTCAACTGTGTTGTATGAAGCGGCATTTCATTTACTTGTACTCCTGTTTTCAATTGTTTGTTTGAATATAGGACAACTATATTTCTCCTTGATGGATACTAGTGGGTTGTTTGCGGGCCATGATGAGTAGAGCTGCTGTGAACATTCGGAGCCCGATTTTGGTTAACATATGTCTGCAGTTCTATTGAGCAGAAACACAGAGAGGAATGGAATCGCAGGGCCAACTGAAGCAGAGGCAACACCAGCCAGTTCTCCCAAGTGAAGGCACCCATCTGTTCCCCACCAGCACCATGTGGATGTTCCAGTTGCTCCACATCTTTGCCAACACATGTCCCAGGCCTTAATGTTAGCCATTCTGGTAAATGTGAAGTGATACTGCATGGTAGTTTTATATGTATTTCCCCAGTGACTAATATACTTGGACAGTATTCACATACTCATTGACTAATTAGGTATCTTCTCTCATTAAACCCCTGTTCATGTCTTTTGCTCATTTAAAAAATTGGTTTGCATGTCTTTTTTTTCCCCCGTTGATTTGTAGGAAGTTGTTATTCTGGACAGTGTTTTCTTCAGCTGGTTATATTTACTGGAAATCTCTCTGCCTTCTGTGACTTGCTTATTTACTTGTTTAATGGCATCTCTTCATAAACAGAGATTCTTAATTCTACTGTTGCCCAATTTATCAATCTTTTCCTGTATGGGTAATGCATCTTGTGTTCTGTTTAGGAACATTCACCCACCTCAGGGTCTTGAGGATATTCCCTTATGGTTATCTTCTGCAATCTTCGTTGTTTTGCTTTTTGTATTTAGATGTACAATTTGCTTGGAGTTTATTTTTGTGTATGGTGTGAAATAGGGGTCATTTATGGAACGAGCCCTCCTTATTCACTGCTTGGCAGAGCCACCCTCTCGGAGATCGTGCCTTTCGTACGCATGTGTGGACTCCCCATCCTGGGTCCACTGGCCTGTTTGTTCATGCTCCAATCGACACTAGACTGTGCTACTTAGTTCCTGGCAATCCCTATTTTTTTAGGATTAGTCTTGACGTCCAACAGGCTAAGTCCTCCAGTAGTGCTTCCCAAGATCACACTGGCTCTTAGTTTTTTGCATTTCCATGTCAATTTGGGAATCAGCTTTCCAGCTTCTCCAAAAAACTGCTGCTAGGATTGTTTTGAATCTATAAATCAGGTTGGGCTAACTCTCATGTAACAGTGTAAGGCATGAAGTTGCGTCCCCGTCTGTTTGAATAAAGACTGAGGACCCAAGAGTCTTAGCTGGCCACAGAATCGTAACCCGGAGAGCCGACACTGGTGTCATGGGAGTAGGTGCTGCCCAGGGGGAGGCACCCTACCTCAGTACAATCCAGAATTGCCATTTACTTAGAAAAGCTATCCCCAGGGGGATGACAGTATATGAAAACACTTAGCCAAGAAACCTGCTTAAGATCAGCTAGCTCTCCTTATCTCGATACCTTACTCATCTAACCACAGTCTCTCTGTATATCTCTACTTCAGCCGTCCAAGAACCCTTGAAAAGATTTAAGTATTTGATCTCATAAAACTTTGGACAAAGCCCTACCAGCATTGGTTCATGATCAGAGGCAGTTCCGCAGCCGCCTGCCGCCCTGAGAGCTTTATCACACAGTCCGTGTTGGCTCCTGACAGCACATTCTTCTCGGCTCCTTTCTTTTCATGGCCAATCCGCAGCCTCTTGTCGGCGCCTCCCCTTTCCCTGACCTCTAAGGGTCAGTTTCTCAGCGTTAGGTTCTGCGGTTATCAATGTTGGCTGGCTTTTGAAGCCGGGGGCTTCAAAAACATGCCTGGGTCTGGCTGTCCAACCCACAGACACGATTCTGTGGATCAGTCGTCAGCCTGGGCATTAGTGTTTTTCCAAAGCTTGGGCCAGGGTAGGGGACCACCATCCCAAGGCAACTTTACTAAAAACTGGCTGACCACTTCCAGCACAAGACTTTTCACTGACCTGACCACTCCTGTGACATCTCTGTGCCTGTGTCTTCTGAACATCTCTGTCTTAGCAAGTCCGAGGTGAATGCTTGACCCCACCCCCACCCCAGGAAATTGTTCCTCTCCCAGTTTTCCCTGAGTAGTGGCCTGTTCTCTCTGCTCAGTTGCATAAATAAGAAAACCAAGAGCTACCCCCACAGTCTTTTGTTGATGCTCACATGAACTCACAGTCACAGAGTTCCTTTCTGCTCTAAAAATGCTCTGGAAATTCTTCCGCTGCTCCATCTTCACAGCTGTCAGCTGGACCACGGAGACTTCTGCCCCCACATTACAGTGACAGCCTATTAACGAGACTCCTCCCTCCTTCAACCAGCTGTAAGAGTGGTCTTTTCAGGACATAGCTAACATCTGTTAGGATGGGCAGAATCCAAAGCCCTGATAACAGCACATGCTAGCGAGGATGTGGAGCAGCAGGAACTCTCATCCACGGCTCATGGGAAGGCAGAATGGTGTAGCCACTTTGGAAAATAGTTTGTCAGTTTCTTGCAAAATTCAATATACTCTCACCATACAATCCAGCAATCATGCTCCTTGGTATTTACCCAGAGGAGCTGAAAACTTACGTCCACACAAAAACCTGTACACAGATGTTTATAGCAGCATTCTTCCTCATTGACAAAACTTGGAAGCAACCAAGATGTCCTTCAGTAGGTGAATGGGTAATAACTGGTCCATCCAGACAATGGACTATTATTCATCATTAAAAAGAAATGAGTTATCGCCCAGCTGCAGCGCGCCGCCTGGGTGGCTGGGCGGTCCATGGGCAGCAGCGAGGGCCACGATGACAGATTACGGCGAGGAGCAGCGCAACGAGCTGGAGGCTCTGGAGTCCATTTACCCCGACTCCTTCACAGTATTATCAGAAAATCCACCCAGTTTCACCATTACTGTGACATCTGAGGCTGGAGAAAATGATGAAACTGTCCAGACTACCCTCAAGTTTACAATACAGTGAAAAATACCCAGATGAAGCTCCTCTTTATGAAATATTCTCCCAGGAAAATCTAGAAGATAATGATGTCTCAGACATTTTAAAACTATTAGCATTACAGGCAGAAGAAAACCTTGGTATGGTGATGATCTTTACTTTAGTGACAGCTGTGCAAGAAAAACTAAATGAAATAGTAGATCAAATAAAAACTAGAAGAGAAGAAGAAAAGAAACAAAAAGAAAAAGAGGCAGAGGAAGCTGAAAAGCAATTATTTCATGGCACTCCTGTTACAATTGAGAATTTCTTAAGTTGGAAGGCCAAGTTTGATGCAGAGCTCTTGGAAATTAAAAAGAAACGAATGAAAGAAGAAGAACAAGCAGGAAAAAATAAATTAAGTGGGAAACAGCTCTTTGAAACAGATCATAATCTTGACACATCTGATATCCAGTTTTTGGAAGATGCTGGAAACAAGGTGGAGGTAGATGAATCTCTGTTCCAAGAAATGGATGACTTGGAGCTAGAGGATGATGAGGATGATCCCGACTATAATCCTGCTGACCCAGAGAGTGATTTGACTGACTAGTGGACTATCCCCATCTGCAGAGAGGTGTGACTGCCACAGCATCTGTGGCTGTGCTGACGTGTTGATTTTTCTTTCTTTTTTTCTAAGAAAAAATAATTTTCAGGAGAATATTCTTCTGATAGCTTTCATCATTGAACTTAATAAACTGACCTTAAAGTTTAAAAAAAAAAAAAAAAAAAGAAATGAGTTATCCACTAGGAAAGACATAGAGGAACTTTAAATGTACGTGACTAAGGGAAAGATGCCAGTCTGAAAAGGCTACATACTGTATGGTTCCATCTACAGGACATTCCGGAAAAAGGCAAAACTATAGGGACAGTGAAAATATCGGGGCGGGGGGAGGGAAAAAGGGGGGAACATGTGGAGCATGAGGGTGTTTAGGGCAGTGAAGCCACTCTGTGTGATACCATAATGGTGGACACCTGTCATGACACATTTTTTTTTTTTTTTAAGATTCTATTCATTTAGGGGCGCCTGGGTGGCTCAGTTGGTTAAGCGACTGCCTTCGGCTCAGGTCATGATCCTGGAGTCCCAGGATCGAGTCCCGCATCGGGCTCC